TGGGTAATCTGCTCAGCGGCAGTTCTTGGTGGTGGTGGCAGCGGTTCCACCACAAAACCGCGATGCCCTTATCCGCGCTGACATAAGTGTGGAGGCAAATCCGCGGCGTCCGAAGCGCTAAGAAAAACACGACCCTACCACCGCGACAACAGCGCGGTGACAGAAGGGCATTCTACATGCTTCGTTCTTTGCCAAGAAGAACGAAGGTAGCCCTCCTCCTCCAGCTGACAGTGGCAGCGGGCACGGGGCAAAGCGGGCTGCCCAGCAGCAGCAGCCCGCGGGAAGGGTCCAGCTCAGCCGCGGGGGGGCAGCAGGAAGTCTGCAGGGGGGAGGATGCGGCAGAGGCTCTCCCGGGGCCGGCGAAGCGGGCTTGCCCGGCGGAGGCAGGCCGCTCTCTTCTTCCTCAACAACATCTCCTTGGACGGGTGGCCGCTTCGCCGGCCCCGGGAGAGCCTCAGCCGCCGCTGCTGCCGCATCCTCCTCCGCCACTGGCACCTCCCCCGGAGGAAGAGGCAGGGCGGGTGGCGTCAGCAGCCCCGCTTGGGCCCCCCGCAGGCTTCCTGCTGCCCCCCACGGCTGAGCTGGACCCTTCCCGCGGGCTGCTGCTGCTGGGCAGCCCGCTTTGCCCCGTGCCCGCTGCCACTGTCAGCTGGAGGAGGAGGGCTACCTTCGTTCTTCTTGGCAAAGAACGAAGCATGTAGAATGCCCTTCTGTCACCGCGCTGTTGTCGCGGTGGTAGGGTCGTGTTTTTCTTAGCGCTTCGGACGCCGCGGATTTGCCTCCACACTTATGTCAGCGCGGATAAGGGCTTCGCGGTTTTGTGGTGGAACCCCTTTCGCAAACACAGTACCTTTCTACTATTCCTTAAAAACAGCCACACCCTTTTAAACAAGTTTGAAAAAAGATACTGCTGCTGCTTCAATGAATAGCAAAGAGATGCTTTGGTTGCCCAGGCCAAAAGCACTTCTTCTGAATCATATTAAAATAGTCACCATTCTAACAAAAACAAAAAAAAACCCTCTACACATTTGTATTTAATAATCATTTTGCTTTTTTAGAATACAAGAAACATTGAGTAAGAGGTTGTTAAGTACCAGGGCTCCACTGGTATGAAGACAGATATTTTTCTTTCCACCCAGAGATGTTGCCTAAATCAGGGGTCTCCAACCCTGGCAACTTTAAGACTTATGGACTTCAACTCCCAGAATTCTCTAGCCAAAATGGCTGGCTGAGGAAATCAGGGAGTTGAAGTCCACAAGTCTTAAAGTTTCCAAGATTGGAGACTCCTGACCTAAATCACTCAATACACTTTTATTCTGAAATATTAGGTAACAATCCATTCACTGTTCTGTTTTGCCCATTTCCGAGCACTCGCTACAGTCTTTCCCCACTTTCATTTCCATACTGATCTATGAGGTAAATTTGTTTACTCATAATGGTGGTGCCACATACTGACCTCCCAGGATAAGCGTTGTCTTTCCTCCAAGAAACTGAAGAGTTATAGGGCTTGTGTTGTCTGGAGTAGGCATGAGGGATTAGTGCCAGGTCTCACTGTGGTGCCTCTCAAGAAGATTTGCCAGTTTGCCTACACAGAGATAAGTTAGCTAGATACTGTAATATGCCTCCTCCTACCCTCACTGAAATACTGTGGAAATTGTTCTGCTGAAATCATTGTTAGTGGTAGGGCTTTTCTCTATGACATCAATGGGGCTTTTGTTTCAGAATAAAATGACTTCAACAGACGAGTTTGCATCAATTCATTAACAAGGAAAAAAGAACTTTTCCATATCAGCTTTAACTCTAATAATTATCAGCTTTTTTAGTTTTTTATTTGCAGTTTTAAAAATATAACTGCAATGAATATGTTGGTTAATTTGTGCCTTACAAATTAGAAGTTAGTTATCTAATGATTATATAATGCAGCATTTCTATGACGTAGGGGATGCATAGAAAAGAGGGGGGGGGATCCTCAAATTATTTTTACTTAACAATGAAATGTACCCAGAAACATGTTTTCTACGATCTCACAAAAAGAAAAGAAAAAAACATGTAACTAAATTTGAGATATGTATTATTGCTCAAGCTCAGGAGCACCTTGAGGCAGGCACTGACCTGCACACATATTTTCAGTCACTTGCCAGCAGAAGCAACAGACAGGAAAACAGATCTTTTCAGTAAAGCAAAAAGTTGAAGGTTCAAAATGTGGCTGAATCATTATTGTCTGAAAACTGATAAATGTTTAGAATGCTATTGCCCCACAAAAACTCTAAGCAAATTGGAAAACTTAATTACAGCATCTTACAATATTCCTCTGTAATAAAGTGCCCTCAAGGTGTTAGCATTTTTTTTGCTAGCAGTTTTAGACATTCTTATTAATGCACCTGTCTTTTCTTCTCTTTGTTTCTCTGTCTCTCTCTCTCTCACACACACATACACAGAGAGAGAGACACAAACACTGAGCCTGTGATGCAAGCACTGAGCAGAGAGTCTTTAGTAAAATACTGGTTCTGCCTAAAAACATATTTCATGTCTACATTCACTCATCATTTTCTAGAATAATTTTAGATCATTCCAGCAGCTGTTCACAATTGATTGAAACCACATATTCACATACATATCTTCCCTGGTGGGATATGATTTTCATCCAGGAAGAGTATGCCTCAGAAACAAACACATCTTTGTTAGAGGCTTCTGAATAGAGGCTAGATTGCTACCCAACAGGGATGCTGGAACAGTTAATTTCTTGCCTCAATAGTAGTTTGACGTGACTATTTCTGAGATCCCATCTAATTCATGAAAAATATAATATCAAGCAATGGAACCATAACTGAACTGAAGCGAGAAGGTAGGAAAATACTTTATTATTTATTAAAGTTTTTTCAGCTCTTACATATACAAGTGGTCCGTGGTTTATATCCATGCATTTAACAACTGTTCAAACTTGTGAATGTGTTGAACAAGGAGGAGTTATGACTGTTCCCTGGAATTCCAGCCATTGCAAAATCCCAGTGGTCATTTAATTACAATCTTGGTGCTTTGGTCACAATTACAACATTGCAACGTCACAGTCACATTATTGCAATTTGCAACCTTCCCTGCCCACTTACTACAAACATAGTCAATGTGGAAGCTGATAGGAAGTTGGGAATCAGAAGTCACAGTCATGTGAGGTTCTTGCTTAATGATCCATGCAGTCCTTGCTTAATGGAGGCAACTAGGATTACTAGAATTGCTGTAACTGAACAGCATGGTCATGTGACAAAAGGAGGGAAAAGTTTACCTGCAACTTTTATTTATATAATGTATATTTTTTCTTTTCAGAAGTTTAAGTCAGTGAGTGTACAACTTCCTCCTTCAAGATTTCTATGCAAGCCTTTTGTGAGGTTGGATTAGGAATAAAGATTGACCTTCAGTGACTCTCCATTGCTGGTAATCTTGAATCTTGAACGTGGGTCCCCCTGGGCCTAGTCCAGCAGCTTAACCACTATTGCATACTGGATATCTGGGTCATTCTAGCTTCTGAAATGATCTTTCCCTACCTTTCTCCTCTAAGCTTCCAGTTATGGACTGCAAAAATGCAGGCATCAAATAGCCGATTGAACATTTGACAAAAATGACAGAAATGGATATGCTGCCATCAAATATTCCCTATTCCCTATTATAAAGCAAAAGTATGACCATTAGAAAAGATATTATTGAGTCCATTAAGCTATGGAAGTATGAGAAAGAGATTCAGGCTTAACTCTGGCTTAATCATACAAAGTAAGAGAATTACTTTGGTAGGTTTTCAAGATTCTATTTCAATCAATAAAGGTATTTCTAGAAATCTTAATGGTTCCTGTTTCCTGAATTCTTCAGCTTGTGTGGCTTTTCAATGAGTGCTTTTTAGTGCCTGAAGAAGACTGAACATAAAATGAAATTTGGGTCCTCATTTTACCCAATTACCCTTAAGGAAGAATGGAGTCAACCTTGAGCTTGGTGAGATTTGAACTGCCAGATTGCAGGCAGCTGGCAGTCAGCAGAAGTAGCCTGCAGTACTGCACTCTAACCACTGTGTCACTATGACTCCTCAGCTCAGTTGTTTTCTTGCAGATTTTCATTACCCAAACTTCTGTGGATAATATCATCAGTGCTAGTCAATGAAATGAAATCTGACAACGAAATCTGTGTTTTTCTGATTCTCTCTGTGTGTTTAGCACAAATAAGTCTGAGTGTTCATGATTATTTAACTAAAGCAGTGTCATACCATTACTTTTGTTCCTACAAATGTTCAATCGGCTATTTTTGCTATTGTCACCTGATATCTAAAAGAGGAAAGACTGGTCCCATCGGGTATAATGCAGTACTGCAGGCTAACTCACTGCTCACTCTGGAAGTTCAATTTTAAGTGGTTCAAGATTGACTAGCCTTCCATCCTTCTGAGGTCAGTAAAATGAGAAGCCAGATTGTAAGGGCCAATATGCTGACTGTGTAAACTGCTTAGAAAGGGTTGTAAAGCACTGTGAAATGTATATAAGTCTAAGTGCTCTTGCTATAACTAGAAGTTCCCTTTTGGTTTTCTATTTTTCTACTTTTCTTCCACTATTTCTTTCTCTTTTTTTAATGATTAGTTTTCCAAACATTTGGTCCCATTGACAATACATTTGGAATCTGCATTGTTTTTGTAAACAGCTTTAGAACACAGGCTTCCAATCTATTCTAACTGTGAACAATACCTTCCAGACCATCTCCTGATATTACAAGGATGGGCTGAAATACCCTTGAACGGGCCAAAGCATAACAAAAGTATTTTGCAATAGTCTTGGACTTGGCAGCACATCTGCTGCAATTATGAGGAAATTGCACTTAACCACATGTTTTATAAGATTTTTTTTCAATTAACACAACTGTTTTGCATTTGTTTTTAAAATACTTTAAAACACTTCAACTGAAAGAGACAAAAGAAGCTAAGCAGATTATTTTTCGAAGCATATTGAAAGCTATGAACATTTGAACACTCAGGAATTCTTTATTAAACTGTCCATTTTGGTGATCATACTTGGATCCTACATCAGTTCATGGCACCTGTATATTCTGATATGTTGTCATAACCCTCAGAGCTATGTAAACAAGCAAGTCCTGTCGTGTTGCTGGTTGCCTGCACTAATCAGACACAGACAAAGTGATTTCTGAGGAAGTCAGGAATATGTACATGCATTTGCGGGTGGTGGTGGTGGTAATAAAGCTGAAAAAACATTTTTTTTAAAAAAACTTGAAGAGAATCTTAAACTTCAGCCTATCTTGTTATTTAACAATGACAATATGAAGGTGTTCTTTTCAAAATTGTCTTGATTCGGAATTAAAGCATCACAGCAAAACACGATAGGCTTTTTCAAATGTGCATGTAACAGAATGGATGTTGGTGAGAATCTGACTTTGCCACACTGCACTGATGCTTCCTGGGTAGGAAGCTACTCCACATCTGCCTATCAAAAGAATATTGCACTAGTATGCAGTATAACATTATGAAGATGCTTCAGAACGTCTCTTACTATATTTTCTTCTACCTTTCTGGGATGAAAACAGATGGATAAATAAA